AAAAAAAAAAAAAAAAAGAGAACAGAGAGACACACGAGTGAAAACGTCGTGCGTGTACCCGTCAACCCACCATCCCTCTTTCGTTTAGACTGTAAGGCCTAGATGTTAAGGCGATTCACTTAGATTATCACCGTTGTCTATATGTGTATAGGAGAGAGAGTCGCGTGTCAAATGGTCCGCCTTTGATTTACCATTTAGACCGTTAGGGATTATATTGAGACGATGCGGCGACTTCGAAGGCAACGAAAGAAAGCGTGCCGCGAGAATTCACCGGCGTTTCGACTAATTAAGCTTAGCGCGTGCGTGCGTGCGTGCGTGCGTGCGTGCGTGCTTCGTGTCCAGGGTTTCACCAACGCAAAGATGCAAAAGGTCTCCGTACACGAAGAATCATATTGGCAATATTTCTCTCTTGCTCTGGTTCTCATCGTACATAGCAAGTTTTATTGCTAAGGTAGCAACAGACAAATATTGATACTGACTCTTGTTAGAGCAGCGTGAAAAATACGCGTTATATCAAATACGAAACAAGGGTGATCGTGTCGCTGCTTTAATAACGTCGTCGTTGATATTTTTCTTCGGGGTATACGCATAAACGCCCGTTTTCCAACGGTGTCACGTACGTTCTTGTGTAACCCAAACGCGTGTGTGTTACCCAGCGTTAGTAATAGCGTATTACTGATAAATTCGCGTCGACGTTTTTTTTTTTTTTTTCTCTCCCTTTCCCCATTTATAAAAATGTATCACGCATGTTTTGTTTTCCTTTTTTTTTTCTTTTCTTTTCTTTTCTTTTCTTTTCTTTTTTTGCCCCCCTTTACCGAGTAGTGCATCGTTCGTCGAGAAACGATCAGATTATTGCACTTCGTAATCCGCCTTTTCGGAAGAAAGGCTTCCGCGTGAAGAACGTTTGCCGCCGTTCCGGATACACAGTATCTCGCGTGAAACGAGTTTCCGTAGCGCGGATACACAGCACGAACGATAATACCGTTCGCACCCGAAGCTGCTTGTCCATTTATAGTTTCCACGGATGGATGAACGACGAGAAAGTTTAATTTATATTCGTGTTTGAATCGTCGAGTTTCTTTTCCTCTTTCTTTTATTTTCCTTTTTCTTTTTTTTTTTTTTTTTTTTTTTTTNTAAACATTAAACTAGAAATGTCAGATTTTCGAATTACTGTCATTTAATTTTGATATTCAAATAAATTTAATATAATAATATAATGTACATACTTACCTATTTATTGTTCAGCTTCATTTTATACAGTTTTATACAGTGTACATACTTACCTATTATTGTTCAGCTTCACTTTAGAATAGTAGTTTGAAACTTGTATTTTATTGAATTTTAAACATTAAACTAGAAATGTCAGATTTTTGAATTACTGTCATTTGATTTTGATATTCAAATAAATTTAATATAATAATATAATGTACATACTTACCTATTTACTGTTCAGCTTTATTTTATACATTTTACACATGTTTATTAAAAAAAGAAAATAAATATTCTATATAAAACAATATATTTAATCACTGTTTTCTAATGAACAAGCTAAAACGAAGTTGAACAGTCAATGACAAAATATTATATTAACAATATTAATGAATATTAATAACTAAACCAGTAATTGTATGATATACACATGTACATGTTCATCATTGTTCATTCTATTCATCTATTTATTTGTTAATTATCACAGTACATTCTTCATATATCTCAGTCTTAACGTTAAGTGAGAAATGATTTATATAAAATCGTGTGATTGTTGTTTCAATTATGCTCTTCGCTGCAAATTGACGAAAATTGATCACAAATGAAACGTGATGAGATGAAGGATCGAAATGACCAAATTGTTCCTCCCAATGTCAACATTAACCTTTCTCATCATTTCAAGAAGAAACATTGCGTGTTTGCCGGAGGTATCTTAGAACACGTATGAAACACCTAATCGTTCCGCTGCATTTCCGGTCCAGGCATGTCCATTGAGGCCATCGTGCACGTTGGATATGCCGTTTTGACATGGCCGGCAGTTTAATACAGCTTTCGACTCGTATTATGGTCACGCACGCTCCTTAATGCGAGATAAAAATCTTCAGGCTCAAAACCAACGCCTTCATTCATCTCCTTCGTACCTCTTTTTCCTTTTTCTTTCGTTTCTTCTTCTTTTTTTCTCGTACTTATTCAACCAAGTTCATTCACAGCTGCCTGTTTATTCACGAGGCGCCTTTGTCTCCTCGCGATCGGCGAAAGATCCGACTTGCCTATAGAATCTCTCCTAAACCTCTTTCTAAACAGACCTCGCGGATCGTGTTTTCTTGCTTGAATTAAATGGGTTTTCGTTTCTTTGTCGCAGAATTTGTTTCGACGCCCTGGAATAATTCATTCTTTCGCCCCCATTCGTATCTGTAGACAAAATGTCTCGCCAAATAATATTGAGATATCTCGCAACACAGTATAGTTTATGTGACATTTCAAACGAGGTCTTTTTACTAGCACATTCGAGGTATTTAATGTCTCTAGTTAGTAGCCAAAGATGGAACATGTGCGTCATTTGGTGGCGATAAAACCAACGTTATTAGTAGGTTGCGGATCTTTGTGCAATTTCATATTTTTGTGAGCACAAAGAGACTTGCTTCTTCCGTTAAATATTATAATAAATGTTTTAATGCATTTTATATTTCTATGTATTGTTCATTGTGTATTATTTATATTTTTTCGCATTTTTCGGTTTGTGGACATCGTCCTTGCAGAATTAATGCACCATCTTTTCGAAGATGAAATCCAGAAACAACGACCATAATGTTCGACGAAAATTAACGAAGGCTATTGTTAACTCTCATCAATATAATCTTCCAACTTTTCCCAACTTCTTCTTCAATATAAATAATAATAAAAAAAAAATAATTTACATATTAGAGGTGTTTAAAGTTAAGATAATAAGTTACAGTGATTATTGAAAACAAACACATAGAAAGACACGTTTCAAGATGTACGCATTTCTTAATTTGTTACACGCCCCTCATTTATT